TTTGTCCTCGTGGAGCTGCGCAAAATCGATGAAAGGAAGTTATTTATGCATGTGGCTAACTATAGAGCGAGTATGTTGCTCAGAGTTCACATTCTGATGAGCTATATGAGCTATATGACGCTTGGCTTCACAGAAAACAAAAATAAGAGGAAAGATGTAAAAAGTAGAGAAAATATTCGAGTCTGGAAAAGAAAAAGAAAATAAATATTAAAAAACTAAATATATGCGAGAGGAAAAATAAATAAATAAAATGTTTACTTAAGTTTTAGTAATGACCAAGCGTAAATATATTTAAATTTGAAAATCAGAATAACATAATAAATGTTAATTAACATAAATTTTAACTAATAACAGAACAGAAAACTCAAATTTGTTTGCACAGTGCAGGCAGTGTAAGCACAAGTCAATTCGATTGAAAGCAAAAAAAAAAAAAAATCAGCTCAGCAATTTAAAACGTTTTTCATTTCCATGCGCAGTTGAAAATATTTCATATGCAATTTTTTTTTGCAAACGGATAAAAATATATGTAAATGTTTATATGTATCTATATATACGTAGATTGACTACCATTCATAAAGGCATATCTTTATTTTTCATATATGTTTGCAAGTTCATGAAAGATTGACGGCAAGCGCAGTTATATATATTTTGCATCGAGCCAACGATTTATGTGGGGCGCGCTCTCAAGGTTAACTGCAATAAGCAAAGCGAACTGAAATAACAAAGCGACGAATGAATGCATTGCAATTAAAATGCAGTTTATGGTTGCTATAATAATAATAATAACAACAACAACAAATTGCAGCAGCAACAAAAGTCGCGTAACCAGTCAACCTCAGAGGCAGGCAAAAGAAACAACAACAACAACAATAACAGCAAAGTATAGACTAAAGCCCCACAAGTATTGTCAGTAACAATTCGTCATTCATGGATTTATTCAAATATACAAAGCTATATGTTGTATACATATATGTATATACGTATATACATATATATATATAGTTCACTCTGTGTCAGATTTGTGTACAAAGTGCGCTGAAACGCAGAACTGACAACAACAACAAAAAATGGTCTGGACTTATACAGTAAAAGCTGACAGGGTTGTCAAATACCGCGAAAAGCTTAAAAATAGTGAAAAGAAATTTGCGACTTTTTGTGTGTACAGCTCTTATTGTATTTCGAGCCGCTTAACTTTGTGAAAACTGAAGAGATTTTTAAGGATTATACGGTGAAATTCATTGTTAACCCACTTTGGTACATTAATCTGAAAGTTTCCATATGAGTCGGATATTTAGTTAATAAACATTTTAAGTGATGTATGTATTTTGCGATGGGAATATTTTTTATAGCTGATCAAAACTAAAGAAATTTGTTTAATGAAAACCTAATTTTTATAAAAGGGGAAAACTTGAGAAAGTGCTATTTATACATATATATTTTTTATTAGACTTGAATAAATACTAGTTGGTCTGAATATAAATAACATCTCTATAAATACTTAATAACTTTAACGTATATTAACTTGGAGCAGAGCTGATTGCTTTGTTTTCCAAGAAAGCATTTAACTAACTATTTATATCGGGTGCGTGGATTCAATAGACCCTTTTCCCTCAACGCTTTTAAATCGATTATAGGCATGGCGTACATTTTAAATGCCGGCTGTTGGAAACGCCGCAGCAATTGTCAGATAAAAAATGTATAAGCATAAGCTGAAAGGCCGCTAAGGGAAAAGATTATATTTACACAGTTGAAAAGTCACACACACACATGCTCTCTCTATCTCTCTCTATATGTTTAAAATCATATATGTATATATTTTAAATTTGCTGCAAACATTTAAGGTTTTTTATACTAATTTAAGATTTTAATTTCCATTTCTTTGCAGGTAAGCTACAACTCTGGTTGAGTGCTTGAATTGGGCGCAGCTAAAAATCATAAATATATATTAGAGCTACATTTGATCATATATTAATATATATTTATATACAAAAATCAACATGTATGCATTTAACCTTATCTTATTTATAATATCGAAACTCTATTTATGTATACAAACGTATATTATGGATAATAACAACAAGCTCCCTCATCCAACCCGCAACATTTGTAATTTGTATTCACTGTAGCTTTATTTATTTAACTTTTCAACAAATTTATTATAACCAAAATGAAAAAAAAAGAACAACATTAACCATGTGTATACCCTAACCGCAACCAAAACAAAACCCCTCCGTCTCTCCTCTCACACCGAAATAACCAATTTTTGCTTTTATCTAGTGCAACAAATCGTGGCAGTTGTGGGGGCAGAGGCAAAGATTCTATTATATATTGTACATTTGCATAAACAATTTATGGCAGGAAATTAAAAATGCTTTTTGTTTGACAATTTGCCAAACATTTTGTATCCGCATTTAGGCAACAAGATTCGTAACATTTGCGCCAAATTGAAATGCAAATGCCAAAACTGCTGCCAGATAGGTTTGATTCATTTATTTTTGATTTTATTATAATTTTCTTATCAATCAGCTGATTTAAATCTAATGCGCTAATTATAATTTTGGTTTTAATTAGCTTAGCTATAGAGTGAAATGCGCAATTATATATTCCTGGAGCTCCTCATATGAATATATTTTTCTCTATTCATAAAATCTCACTTGCCTGATTTTTTATTTTTTTGAATTTTTCGTAATATGCAAAAATTCATGAGTGCAATTTATGCTCCTAATTATGAGCATGCCACAGGCATTTTCCGCCTCATGCTTTCACCTCTCTCTCTCGCTCTCTGTCTTTCATGCTCTTTCACTCATTAGCCTTTTCAGTGTAGAGCTCGAGAGATGGTGCTTGTTGACATTTTGGTGTCACGGATTTATTTGGTCGTCGAGCTTTAGCTAGCTAACAGGGTTTTTAGCCTGCGATGCGAATAATTAGGGTAGAAGATGCACAAGAGCTTGTGTCAGCTGAAAAAGGTGGGAAATGTGTTGGCGCTTTAAAAATCTGTCAGCAGCAACGCGTTAGAAATTTAAGCTCAAGATGTGTTGAATCTTGAATCTGTGTCACTTAACATGTGAGTAGGATCCTCTGTGATGTTAGAGAAACGAATTGCTGAGAGCAAAAAAAATTAATTTATTTTAGATTAGGTCTGTAAAATATTTTGAATGTTATCCATGAGATTTGAGCGCATTTATTTGTAATTATAAGAGCATTAAACGTCTGAAGGTATTCCAATAGAGCTTATATTTAGTTGTTTAATAATATATAAATCCACACAGCTGCTTATGTTATTAGCTATGATTAAAAAGAACAAAGAATATTATTTAACATCAATATTACCTGGATTTCTCATGATTCATATCATATTTTCAATGAACATTTTAATTAAATAATACCACCATTAGCTAGTTGACAATTAAAGTTTCTCTCTGCGGTTTTAGCTTCTCATAATTGGCAGCTAATAAAATCAAAGGATATCACGCATTCGCCCCATATGCCACACTGGGCAGTACATCACAATTATTTAAATATTTAAATTAACACAAAGAAACTAATATAAAATTTATGTCTATATTATAATTCGTATAACAATAATCATCGCTATTGTTGTTCTTTTTTCTAGCTATTTATTATATATGTGTTGCTGTGGTCCTTGTTGTTGTTGGTGTTGTCTCTAAATGTTAATTATAAGCAGCTCATTTTAATAATATGTATTGCCTCATATTATAGGGGCTGTAGTCCTGTTTGCATATATCGTATTTTTATGTAGTCTAATTTTAGCTGTTGGTTTTAACCCTGACTCCACTCGCGCTCCGCAAAGTATGCTAGCATAAATGGAACATATATATAAATTACATTTGGCAAATTATGTATATATATTATGCAAAATTTATGACAAAATTTATGCGCATAAATAAGCAGATACAAACACGAGCGAAAGCAAGGCTTAATTATTAAGCCTGCATATATGCGTAGCTTACATTTGTTTATTAATACAACAGCAAAACAGTAACAATTTTTGTGTTTGATCAGTGTGAGAGTCTGCGTGTTATATTCATACATACATTATGGTTTGGTTTGGTTTTGTAATTAAATGTAATTAAATTCAATTGGTTTTTTTTTCTGCTAGCCACAAACGTGTTTGCATTTTACATCAACATTTTTAACATCTCAAATTATATTTATTTCTTATTTGCTTATATATTTATAGCTTAACATGTAGTTGTCCCTGTTTTTGTGTGTAAACTGTACAGGTTGTATTGTTTCCATGTGTAATAGTAAATCATTTTGAATAGGATACTGGAAATACTTGGACGCTGGTCGAAGTGGAATTGGAATAACATTTTGAAAATATTAATAAATTTTTTTTTTATCTATCTTATAATTACTCCACTTGACAAACGTCCGCTGCTCCTCTTAACCATTGTAAATATCTATTACTAAGTTGTGAACATCTCTTAACAATATTGAAAACTTGCGCATTTTGTAAATATAATGCCGATAATAGAACGAAATACGTAGTACATAACCAATAATAACACAAATATTCCCGTTTCATTCAATCGAATAGCATTCAAAACAAGTGGTCGGCCATACGATATGTAAATTCATTTATATCCTTCCCTTATGCACACAGACATACACACGCATATATACATACCCGACATACATATACATTTAACTATGCATTGCAAAATGTGCAACCAGAATGTAGTTCGCATCTATAGACAGAAATAACATGTGCTCCCATCTCTCTCTTTCTCTCTCACCCCATAACCAACAAACCAAAAAAAAAAAAGAAAAAAATTAAAAATAAAAGAAAAAGTAAATTGCAAATATTTTTGCCAATCCAAAACCAAATATCAAATACCTCCAAACTTCCCAAAAAAAAAAAAAAAAAAAAAAAACGTTAAAGCATAAATCGACAATAAAATCTACATAGAGAGCAATTGAAAATTTTTTATACCAGTGGCGACATTTTCTTTTCTGGTTCTTTTTATATATTGCAGGTTTCAGACACCAATAAAAGCGTTTGCCTGCCTGACAGCCACAAGGTAAGCTCTAAAGCTGCTACACCGAACACAATTATGAAATACCTTTTAATTATATACATAACCAACATCTAACTACATTAAAACATCATAATTTTTTTCATTAGCTGCATTTATATATATGTATATGTATCTATATTTATACATATGTCTACATGTCGTTCGATTAGACTTGATTTGGTATCTAAAGTCCATTGGCTAGTGCTCAAATGTGTTTTCAAATATTGTCAAGTTGTCATTTCTATTAGATGAAAGTAAAAACGTATCTGAATTAATTTAAAGTATATTTTCAATGTGTAGTAAATAAATATAGTTAAATAGTTTATGTAATCAACATTTTGTGTATACAAATTTTTTATTTTTTTTGTTTGAAGATTTTGTATTATTTATGTTGGCAACATTACCCTTTTTTTTATGTCAGCATTTTGCTGTGCGGACTTTGTGTGAAAAGTTTTACTTTAAAATTTATTTTTTAAATGTAGACTATTTTTTTTATTTATTTATTTAGCATATTTCATTCTTTTGTCAATAAATTGTACTCGCTCTAGCATTGCATACTACATTCAATTTCAATCCTTAAATTTATTGGAATTTTCTAATAAACATTGCAAAGTTTCTTTTATTATATTTGCATATTCTATATTCAAATTAAATCGAGTTGAAATCACAAATTAAATGGCTGTATTTGTTGATTGCTTAGTGTAAATGGGTCAATTGTATAATTTCTACTGTATACTACATGCTGTGCTCTTGAGCCGCTCTGTTTGACAGTAGAAATGACTCGAATTTCAGAATTACCGTTATGTTTACAAAGCTGTCTGTGCATTTTGTGGCCAAAAAGGGCAGCAAGCAGCTAAAAGGCATTCCGGTCAAGGCTTTAGTCTGGACAGGATAGCAATTAATTAGTGTGACTATATCTGTTTGGTATTACAATTTTACGACCACACACACACACACCCTCACACACACACACATACTTGTCCATATGCAACAGGTCGGACAGTGAGTTGGGCTGTGCAGGTATATATTAGAACCCGTTTGACAATGTTTCAATCCGAAAAGACGTTTTAATGTTTCATAAATGTGTGTTACGTGCTTATGGACAACGGTGCGCGTGTGTGTGTTGATTGTGTCTTCAGCTAACACTTGATTATTTGTTGTTATTTGTTGCTGGTAATGTTGGTCAGGCGGCACGTTTCGGTTGTTAAACTTCAAAGGTGTTGCTCAGAGGGCCATTGAAGTGCATTTAATGACCATACTAATGTATTATAGTTGTTAAATGAGAAAAGAGACAACAATATGTTTCACATGAATCATCCGAGTTGTTAAGAGAAAGAAAGCTGAAAGCGCTGACTTCAACTGAACTCAACTGAACTGGGGAATGAGTTGTGTTGTATTGCTACTGCTGCCAAAAATCGATTTTCATTTCATTCACTTCAATGTGCGACAAATTCACAGAAATATGTGGAGGTAGCTTCGGACTACTTACTGTCCTCTCAGTATATTGGCAATTACTTTTTAAACTGACTTCTGAACGTGCAGCAGATTTTCGCTTTCAGCTTTTCCTCGAACTGCACCAAATACCAAAGCTTTTATTAAAAACTCTCAGAGTTTAAATATTTTATTAAAAACTCTCAGAGTTTAAATAGAGAGTAAGTCAGTTACGTGTTTCTGTTATAGTTCGTTTGATTATCTTCATATTATTATAATCAATAATCTGCTCAAGTGACAGCTCTATGTATAGAATTGTCAAGCGTATGGTGCTTCCTTTGAAATTTTCTATAATCCGCTTCAAGCTGTGTGAATTTTTAGTAGCCACTGCTATGCAGACGCTATAAGTTTATCATCGAGCCAATTACACGCATGGACATACATAATTGAATAATCGCAATCGTAATCGGCGATAATGACAAACAGTTTAGCGCACATATAGCAACACACCATAAAAAAAAACATGTGCAAGGGGGGTGGGGCCATAACAACCTCTGTTATATGCAGCAAAGGCGTCTGCCCTGCAGCACATACACAAATAGTGAAAGAGTGAGATAGACTGAGAGACAGGCAGCTGGCGCAGACGGCACACAAGTCACAACACATGCACACACACACACTCACACTCACTCATACACACCCGTTGTGTGGTATGCGCGATATTTTATCCGCTAATGTGCAATTATAAACAAATTTCGTTGTTTGTTATTTAAAATGCGGCAACAGCAAAACAGTAGAGGGAAGGTGAAACTAAAACACGCCTATTTGATGATTGTTGTTGGTCGAGTTGTTAGAGCAGTGGGTGTTCGCTATAAATTGTGTGCGCATAGTCATGCATGTCATGCAATGGCTTAGCTAGGACACAAACCTACCAAGTGCAATTGGTCGAATGAGAATGGTCGCACGATGCGTGCAGCTGCCACATTTGCCACATGTTCAGCTGTGGGAAAACAAGCGGGCATTGCAAGCGATCAGCTGGCAGTAAGTGCCTGTTGTTATTGTTGCTATTTAAGGTGCTAAAATGTCAGGCTTAACAAAATGTTGTAAAACACGCAAACAACTGCCGCAGCACTGAGCACTGAAAGCTGAAAGCTGAAAACTGAAAACTGACATCCGCAATTGTGCAATTTAATTGCTTTGCAATTCATATCATGTTGTTGCTGCTGTTGTGGCAGCAGCTGCTGCACCAAAAAAGTAGACTACACGAAATTCACAGCGATTTCGAAACAATAGCTGCTGCAACCAGGTGAAAAAAACAACAGTAAGCTGGGCTGGTTGACATAGCAGCTGATAGAGCACAAATTCCAAATAATATTTTCAACAGAATTTCAAAAAGAAAGTGGATTTTTATGTGGAAAAATGGGGAATATATAGAGGAATGCAGTTAGTTAAGTTTCAGTGCGAATTGCTAAATCACAAAATGGAAGAAGATCTTCCTGTAATAATAAACATAAATAAATCATATTACTAAATAATAAACTTGAATAAATATTATTACTAATGTCAATATGTTGGATAGATTATTCGAAAAAATATTGCACATATTTTTCAAATAAATAATCTTACTTTTCTTACAATTTGTGCTTGCTCATATAATAATATTACATATTTGTATTCATAGTTAATTTCACTATTAAGTGGAAACTTCAGCGAGTAATGTCATAAAATGCCAAACTAATAAAATTCTGTTTAATACTTAATTTAATTTTAAATCAACAAAAACCTTCTATGTATTACAATTGAAATTATTGATCAAACTCGCTGTGAAATAATTGTCAGAGAGATTTCAGTTTCAATTAAGTCTCCAAATTTCAGATCTGACTCACAGAATAAATTCTCTACTACACATTCATTTCGAGCAGCTGAGCGCCGAATGTTAATTCAATTAAATCGCGCTTTTCATGGCGAAATGCTATCGAAAGTGGCTGGAATTTTCGTTGACCAACCTGCAGCACTGACACATATAACAAAAGTTGCAACACGCTTCGACTGTTCCAATTATAGTCACCCCGTTTGGCCTACAATTAAAAGCCACCACCCAGTTTTGTTTCTTTCCAATTTATTTTGAATTTTCCGCTAGTGACCAAAAAAACCGACAGCACGCACTACGGGAATTTTCCCCCAGGCTGAAAAGGATTTTTTGTTTTGTTTTTTTGGCTGTTTTTTAAACAACTTCCGGTCCGCACGGAATTTCAGTTTGAAGGCAGCTTTAATTACGCGTCAGTTGCAGCTACAGTTCTTAGTTGAACTTCTTTTGTTTGTCTTTTTATTTCCGTTATTTTAGCTTGGTATACTTTCTTCCGTTTTCGTTCTGTTTGTCACATTGTTTACAATTTTATCGTGTCTCTGTTTGTTGTTTCGCTGTTTGTATTTACGCACTTGACTGCATTCTAAATTTAGATTTTTAAATACTAATGAATGTAATGGTTAATCGAAAATTAAAGAAATATAATAACGAAAAGTTAATGAAACATACAAAATAATAATTAATATATAAAAGTTAAACAAAATGAAAACTTTTCAAATTAATTTCTCTATACAATATGGAAAAGAAACTCTTGTTGTTAAATCTTTCGAAAACGAAAATATATTTTGATTTGCCTTCCACTCAGCCACTTCTGTGTGCTTCTGCTTCTTCTTCTTCTTCCTCCACTTCCTTAGGAATTTCCCAACGGATGAAGCTGGTTTGCTCATTTAACTTAACTTGTATAAATGAGAATGGCCGCACAGCTTTTGTTTTGCGTGACTTTAAGTTGGGCAGGCATAATGTGAGGCTAAGCACATGCCATTTTTAGGAATGAACTTAGCCAAGATCTATTAATCAATATAAGCAGTAGCTCCATGAAGTTTCCGTGCCCGTGCTCTTTGGCCATTCACAATCGTCAGCCACTTAATTTCCTTCACAGCGCTAACAATGGTCGATTGCCGATTGCCAATGGCCCGACACTGCGTACAGTTCATTTCCTTGCACCGAACTGTTCAGAATTTCGATGGGCTGGCCCTAGTGTCCCTTGTGGGGGCAAATATCCAAACGTCCATTTTTGGCAATTACAAACACATTGAATTTTCAATTCGGATGCTTGACATGAATTCGAAAATGCTGCCAACAACGATAGCAACAACAACAACAACAGCAACAACACGCGATACTGTGATTTGAAGCGAGGCAATCGAAAAGCGAAGGGCACATTTGACATTTATGACGCATACGCCGTGTATGCCGTAGCGATTAGAGATGGAATGATTTACAATGCAGGCACGAACTGAAAATGCTGGAATGTTGACGTCGGATTGTGTTCATTTGAAGTGGTTTTTGATTAGGTTTGAGGATTGAGGAAACATCGTTTGCTTACTTGGTTAAAGGTCGCTTTGGGAAGTCTATGAAGGTTGGTCTATTTAATAGTGTTCTTTTTAGTGCCATGTTATATAATTATTAAGCATTATTATTGTTATTTGATGTAAGCATGCTTAAGTCCAGAGTTGTTTTAATTAACTTTGAATTCTGTCCATAC